GCCAGCCATGCTGGCTGGGGAATTTTTGGAGTTGAAGGCCACACCTCTTCAAGGGGCCCAGGTTGAGGAACACTGCATTACCCCTTTTCCCGTCCTGAATAATGTCATTATCCCCACAAAAAAGCCAGACTCTGTTGCTTTGCACAAAGATCTTGGCAGTGATTGTCCCAACCTGGATCCTTGACTCACAAACGAGCAATTACAAATGGTTCTGTGACTCTCAGGATATGCCCAAATTAACCCGAGTTTAAGAACCATTATTCTAATTTCTGGAAGAACCTTTGCCCTCTGCTCCATGTTTGCAAGCTTCTCAAAGGCACCAGGACGGCTGGGCTAGATCTTCTTCTGTACCACCAAGACAGACAGAGAGACCACTGAACCCAAAGGTAACCTTGATGTGAAGACCTTCTGCTTCATGCAATCTCTCCAAAGAAGATCTAGCGATTGTCCTTGAGCTTTAATTCTCTTCCTTTTCTCTTGATTTAATTAAAAAGGCTTCTTGGATCTGAGCCAAAGGCTTCCTGATTGATTACTTTTTCTCAGCAGCCAATGGCATCACAAGGACATGGAAACTTTCTCCAGCCCTGGGGAGATCATCACATTCACCCCAGGGGTGGGAGAGAAGTGAAACTGGAGTGTCTCCATCAGTTCTACATACAGGTAGTCTCCAGGTTAAGAACGAGTTCCATTCCCAAGATCTGACCTTAAGTCAAATTTGTACATAAGCCGGAACCGTATTATTGTATAACACTGTATAAGTAGCATTGCATAATGAACTCGAACCATTGTGTATTTACCTCGAATTTTGCTACAATAGGCTCCGTTCTTAACTATGGGTCATCCGTAACCGGGTGTTCTTAACCCAGGGACTACCTGTAATCTAGGGCTTATCTGCTTCCACCACATCCCAGCACCACTGAAACACATTACTGTCTTTTAACACCACGCCTACAGCATGACTATTCCCATGTCAAATGGGTGGAGAAGGCCAATATTTTCTAAGTCATGTTTAATCTAAAAAAAAAATTGGGTCATGCTAAGACTAAACTCATCAATCTGGTTTGGACAGCTAAAGATTCCAGCATCCCCTTTAGGGAATGATTGCCAGGTGACAAACCTCCCAAAATCCTGAGATTGCAGGGGAGAATGAGGATGGCCTTGAAGGAAAGAAGGAAGATCCATTACGAAGGCAACAATCAGATAAACGGGACTTGAGCCTAGAGCAGGAAAGGAGTTTGTGAAAACACCTCATTCCACCAGCCCCCCAATTCTTACGAAGATAAAAGAGGAAGGAAAGGGAACACACTCAGATTTGCACAATTCTGTTACTATAGCTCAGTGTTTCTCGACCTTGGCAACTTTCAGATGGGTGGACTTCAACTCC